ATTAACTACTTCGAGAAGGGGAAAACCATTACTGGAGAATACTATGCATAAATTTTGAACCGAATAAAGCGAACATAGAATAACGTTGTGGCCAGAGCGTTGAATTTCGAGGGAACTATGTCGAAAAATAAACTACGTTACACAATTCAAATTGTTATCTTTAATATCAAGCTAAGTTACTTATCAAACCACTTTCGTATAGTAAAATACATTACAAAATAAAATATATGTTATAGAATTATTTGATAAAATAATATATATAATGTTTGTACCCTCAAACGGTATAAAATAAAATTTTCCAGTATAATAGTTCGTCATATATATAACACGACGAGATAGAGAAAATGAAACTTTAACCGTAAAGTTTCATATATATATATCTATATGATAAACGCCGATAACACGTAACGTTACTGTACTCCTTTCTATAATTCTTGCTTGTCCTTTACAGCTACCCAATCCTCCTTAATTAAATCCGCGCCTTTTTCGCCTATCATTATCGTAGGCGCCATCGTGTTTCCGCTGGTGATTGTCGGCATGATAGATGCATCGATGACTCTCAGACCTTGCATTCCGTGTACTCTTAATCTAGCGTCCACTACTGACGTAGGATCGTTTCTTGGACCCATTTTAACGCTACCAACGGGATGGAAGATCATGGTAGACATATGTCGCAAGTTACATAACCAATACTCATCCGTATCAGGTTCAGTGTGTCGACAACCTGGAATGTCCAAATGATACAGCCATACTCCTCGTCGTGTAAATGTCTCGGTCTTCAGCATTTTCTTTATGAAGTCTAAGGCCTTCATCATCGTTTCAACATCTTCTTGCTGGGAGAAAGTGTTCGCATAGATCTTAACAGGAACCGCGGGATCCTTGCTACGTAGCCGCAACTCACCCGAGCTCTTCGGCTTTAATACACACGGCATGAATACCGCCATATCAAATTCCTGAAGCATTTTCAATACATTCTGCTTTATCTCCTCATCTGCTGGAAATGCCTTCCAAATTGTGTTCATATTATCTACATGCCATCGTGGATAGTGGAAGTGATAAATCTGTGTGTCGGGATATTTGGAGTTCGCATCATTTACATTGACATTACCTACAAAATTTAATCCACCGTTGGCTGCCAAAATACCTTGTTTATGTATCAAATATTGATAAGCTTCGTCCAATATAAATGTAGGCGATGGTGGTGTCGCGCTCTCGTTCTTGTAAGCTAAATGTAAACCTGGCCAACCGACATGATTTTGAAGATTTTTGCCGACTGGCAAATCAACAACGTTCGGTATTCCCATTTCGAGCAGATGCTGCTTAGGCCCGATACCGGAGAGCATGAGCAGTTGTGGACTGGCGATACTGCCGGCGGATAAAATCACTTCCTTTGATGCTTTCACGTCGATCGACCTGCCATCCTTCAGAGTCACGCGTACTCCGATCGCACGAGTGCCATCCAGGAGAACAGCGTCGGCCCGGGTTGACTTCATCACGTACAGATTGCTCCTGTTTTTAATCGGCGATAAGAAAGCCTCTGGCGTACTCATCCTGCGACCTTCATTCAAAGTTCCCTGAGCCATGCCGTATCCAATATATTTGTTACCGTTGATGGTTTCTAATATAGGTACATTCAGTTCACGAGCAGCGTCCATAAACATTTTTTGCATATCTGTGACGCTACAATTAAAATATCTGATATACAATGGTCCACCGTGACCGCAATACTTTTTTCTCCACTCGTCAGTGTGTACACCGTCGCAGTTTTGTGATTTTCTAAAATATGGTAAAATCTCCTCGTAGCTCCATCCTTCGTTTCCCATCCGGGACCACTCATTGTAATCCTCTTCGTTACTCTGAATGTAGAGCATACCGTTTATTGCGGAGCTACCACCGAGAGCTTTACCCGTATGCCATGTGCAGATTTTGTTTTTGTAACTTTGGCAAGTGCGTTCATCGAATTCAGTGTCGTAAGCATAACTTTCCGGCGATGATATCAAATGTGCGAATAACCCAGGGATTTTGCTAACAGGCGAAGGATCATCTCCAGCTTCGATCAGTAACACTTTCCAGTTTTCTACTTCCGTTAAACGATTAGTTACTACTGATCCTGCAGTTCCGGCACCCACGATGATAAAATCGAATTCAATATTGTTATCTGCGATTTCTCCCGAACGATCCGTTGGATAATTGTTCTTATTGTTGAGACTGCACTGTACTGCTAGAATGGTTTGCACCAGTTGCAGGAAAACCGATGTTGAAGCACT